TTGCCAACTTCTATAGTTGCACTAAGAAATAGACTCATGTAGCAAATAAGGATAATGACGCTCTTTGATACCAAAATCACTAATTGTCATCTCTAATAAGGATGTACATGTTATCAATATCAAAGATGATGCATGTCATTAGTACCAACTCTAATATGAATCACTGCTAACAAGATTAATGCTTATAGTTTGTACCAAACACCAAACACATATCATTGCCAATAAGGCCGTTTGACATTAAAACTAATATCAATGGCTTTCGTGTTTATAAATATAATACATATTGTCAACACTATAGTTGATGCATGTCACATACACTACTGTTTATGTTCACCAATGACAATGAGATATATATTTTCCTTATTATTTTTTAATCTCTTATCCTATGAAGAGAACAACTAAGTTGATCACTAATCTACTAATAATCACTTCATGACATTTTTTAACTCTTAAAGGCTCTTCTTACTTTCATCATAGACGTCATATTTCACGTTTCATGTCTTTCTATTTGTTGTGTACTAAAGAATCCTTGGTTGTAGAAAAATTAAATCTTAGTTCAATAAAAATAAGCGACACACACATACATTGATATAAATAATAAGATAACAAATTTTTTAAGTGAAAAACTCGATAAGAGAAAAAAATATAAGGTCGAGCCTAATCAGAATTATTTGTTTTCAAGTTGAAGTTACATATTTATATGCTTCTCTCTAACAGAAGATGGAATTACAAAAATATGAATATTTATATAACCCTTTATTGTTAATACAATCATTTATAAATCGTAAATCCTAAACCCTAAACATCATTGTTTATCATACTAAAATGATTATGCAACAATAATTTGGAGATAATAACTGGAGTACAACAACGTCATCATATAATTGGGCTACAATAACAACCAACGATGCTCTTCAATAATTGTTGGTAGTTATTGGCTTTAAACGTTCTCCAAAAATATAAACTCAACTCTTAGTTTTCTCTTCTCTTATGTTGAAAATGAGCTCATATTTATAAAATATTGGGCGAACTAATTTGATAAATTTAGCCAAAATCTTCAAAACACTATAAAACAACATGGGTAGATTCTTTAAATCATAGATAAGTATTTCAATATTTAATTGTCATATGATCTTAGAGTTGAATGATTTAGGCCTATTAAAACTATCTCATCAAGCCGTTCGATTTGACTATAAATATGTTGAATCTGGAGGTTTTTTCCCTTCAATAAGTATTTATTCAAAAGTGTTTTATTTAGACTCATGTGGAACTGCTTTTAGTGTCATCACGTTTTTTTACGTTTAGATGTTTAGTTTGATCTTCAATTCATTGAAATCGGCGGACGGATGAACCGAGAATTTATTTAAAAACTTATAATTTGAGACTTGTATCAAAATATGTTTTATTAGATAGATTTTCTAATGATATATCAACATTGTATAAATGCCATCTTCAATTGTGCACTTTATATAAAACTAGTCTTTATATTTCTAAAATGTTAGGGATTATTTAAAAAGAAATAAATTTACTAATTAAATTCATCCAAGTAATTAGTGGGTTCATTATATTAATCATGATTATTAATCACTAACTAATGTATTGATCAGTGTCTGCATTTTTATAGCAGTTGTGAGTGGTGCTTACGGTCTGATAATTAATTTTAAAATAAAATAAGGTTTATTTATTTAATTAAGGTTAGGTGAGAAAAATAGCAGCCGCCGAATCACTGCATGGAGCTTTCACACCGCCCGCAGTTGGCGATTTTTCTTTTCTCATCGGGGTGCCGCCGCATATTCAACCTCCTTTCGCCGCGCACCCGGTCAACTAAACGCGATATTTTGACCGGCAAGGGACGACTTTTGCTCGTTTAGAAGAGACTATTCCTCGCCGAGTTTTTGACCGTTGTTGGCGTCTGCCACGCGCTTGACCGCGTCCACCTAATTCATTGGAAAATTTTAGGTGACCCAAATCTATCAAAAATATGGTTTTTTTCTATGATTGTATTTATTTTTTTAGTGGACACGTACACCACAAAATTTTATGTATTTACATACTTAATTGTTGAACTCTTGTAGGACTTAGTATCTCTTAGAGTTCATGAACACATATAATTCGGGAGTGACCTTGTGAGGTAATTGATGGAGGCGGAAAGAAATGGAGGATTTCGGGTTATATATTATACCAAATGACCAACCCATCTCACTTAAAAGAATTAAAGACCCGTCTATTTATACATCTTATAGAGAATCCTTAATCTTGTAAGGTTGCATTAAGGACGAGAAATAACGAATTCGTACACTGTAGGCAGTATTGTGCAAAGACAGCTGAGTGTTTTCGTTGAAGAGATATCGTCATGTGTGTCACACAACTCATAAATGGGCATTGTCACTGATGAGTATTTTTTTTTTCTAGCTTTGCTTCTGGGGCAACCTTGAAGCTTGACAAAAATAATGACGTAGCTTGATAAGCGTTTATCAACTTGGTGGAGGAACTTGATGAGTCAGAAGAGCTCGATGAGTATGGGTGAGCTCAGTAAAGGAGCTCTCATGAATTCCAACTTGCTCGTCGGAGGAGCTCGCTAAGTCTTTCTAAGAGAAAATCTATGTAGCTCTGACTTTGATAGATGCGATTGGCTTATATAGTCTTATGGTTGACAAATGTAGTCTGCTTCAGGCTTGTGATAATGGACTTGATCTATTTGGCCCAAAAACCTATTTATCATTTGAGCTTTTCTGGCAACTCAAAAATCTATTTTTGGATGTACATTAATGCTTGAACTTTTTAAATTTATATGCATAATTGTATACATCAAAGCTGTCGGCATGAATCTCAAAGCAATCGAATGACCTAAACGACAACCAGATGATTGAGACGTCCAATCGCTCTACAACTAACTGCATGATCAAAAATCAATCAACACAACTATGACGAAAGATTTTAAAGACAGACCACGACTACCGTCCCAACCGACTAGAGCGTTGGTGGCAACCTTTGATCGTGGCCAATTGGCCAACCCACTTTTACCGCGGTGGATGAGATCGCCACTTTATTGGACTCCTCAGCCAACCGACACAATCGTCACTCAGTCGATCGCCTCAGTTGGTTGAATTCATGCAAATCAGCCAGAAAATTACCACCATATTAGAATTCAAATTGTAATGCAGATATAATATAAAATCTATATGATTAATTCGAACATCAAATGACTTAAGAACATTTTCCATAACACTATAACTGCATAAAACACGCATCTATAAATAGGAGATAAAAATACGAACAAGGGGATCTCTCCCAGTTTTCTCTCAACAGTGAATTCTAGGTTTATACTACTCACTCTTCTTCATCCCACCGTTTCCAACTCTTGAGCAAATGACAATTCAGGATTCAACAATAATATTCAAATTGCCATCATTATTAATTTTCAAAAAATAAAATACTTATTTTTCATGCATAGGATTAAGACTTCAAATTGTCGTAATTGTAAATACTGAAATTTAGATATAGTAGATATGTAAATAGAGAAGAATTATGTGTAAATATTGAACATTTTCTTAAAACTAGAAGTTTAAATGAGCCACATTTGAACATAATCCAACTCGTTTGTTAGCATTCAAAAATAAAAATGTGAAATGTTGTAAACTTATCCATTTCAATGAACTTTATATTGATATTTATTTACGTTATTTGATTCCATAAAAAATTAATTATACTTGTATATTATTTTATTTACTTGATTTAAACTTGTTTATTTATATAAATTCAAACAATGTTTAAATTCATTCAATTATTTATTTATTTAAATTTGTAAAATCATTTGTCAATAATTTTATATAAAAAATAAAGTGATCATCCAAATTTTAACTCGTTTACTTTTTATTTCTTCCCTCTCTCTCTCTCTCTCTCTCTCTCTCTCTCTCTCTCTCTCTCTCTCTCTCTCTCTCTCTCTCTCTCTCTCTCTCTCTCTCTCTCTCTCTCTCTCTCTCTCTCTCTCTCTCTCTCTCTCTAGGCATGAACATGTGTACAAACTAAAAATATAGTGCACATAAACATTTTTTTTTATATTTTCTTCTATGAAATGATGAATATGATTTGGATTTGCATATGTATATATATTTTTCTATATTTATATAAATATACTTGATTCATATTTTTATGCATATCTATGCATGTAATAGATTTCATTTTTTTTAAATGCTTTGGATCAAGAAGCTTGTCTAATACTCATTCGAAATTATCTTACAATGAAGCATTTGAAGCTTTTTCAAACTTCAATCAAATCTAAATCTAATAATTTACGCTATATGTCAAAATAATCAATTGGTTTTTTTCGGGAGATTATTTTAATCCCAAAACCTATAAAATCCTAAATTAGCTCTCACGCTCTTTCAATATGAGCTGAAATAGTCCAAGGAAAAACAATAGTAAGATCAGAAAACTTGTCTTTTAGCCGAGAAATTTACATATCTAACACCTAAGATTTCATATTTAGGTGCATAACAGTTACTTTTTAATCACTTAAAAAAAAAATCACTATTATACACATTTTCATGCATAGATTTGGGACGCTGAAGTGTTATGAATGTAAATATAAAAATTCTCCCATTTCATCATCATATGCATGAAAAATGTATATTTCAATTTATAAAAATTAACATTAATGATATTCTTAATGTAATGTTAAAATTTAAGTGTTATATATATATATATATATATAATATATTATTTTATTTACTTGGTTTAAACTTGTTTATTTATATATATATATATATATCGAAGTTTAAGTGGTAGATATGTCCATATATAGGAAAAATGCAGCATCGAAGTTTAGGTGGTAGATATGTCCATATATAGGAAAAATGCAGCATGCATGTAAATCCTATATCTGACTTTCCCATGTAATCTTACTCACAGAAATTACTCGTCAAATTAAGCAAAAAACCACGAGTCCACAGCAACAAATTTGAGCACTAAAGTACTGATATTAAAACAAAGCAGCAACATGAATCTGAAAATCCAAATATAAAAAAAAAAAACTCCATGGCAAAACTAGACAGAGTTCAAACATAGTTAGTACATAATATAGTAGTTCTACCTGTACAAAACAAGCATCTACTGACCACTTACCAGATTTACTTTCTACTCTCGGCTTCACCAGCTGACCACTTCCACTGCTTTTGCTGTATATGGAGATCATGATTCCAGTTTCCAGCTTCCAGCTTCCCTAATGGTCTGAATTAATTCCAAATATGCGAACTTTGTGCATGTTCGGAAACTTGGCGATGACTAGCACGATCACGGCGATCGTATTCAAGAAAAGCATCGGGTGCTGGTAATCAGTGGTATGGGAGGCAATTAAGTACCTGCAGAAGAAAATTTTAAGTTCATGAAGAGGCGGAAAACTTCATAGAATACAAATTTTCATTTCATGGATTGGGTTCTCAACTTCATAAACAGCTACATTAAATTGATTTTTTTTCATTCAAATGATGTTTTAGTATAAACAATAGTTTTAGTTTGTAGAGAACTAATGGATATGTACTTATGTAGCTGTTTATGAAGTTGAGTTCTGTTGCTGTGCCTATTTAATGTAGGGTTCGGTCCATTAGGATATTGAACCGGTTTGGTCTAGTCAACTTTTATTTTGGTCTGTTTTGTTCTTATCCTACGTAATCTTTAAATAGCTCTGGCTGTGTATAGTTTTGAATGGGATTTATTAATGAATTATATTCTCTCTGTTTTTCTTTTCACCAATCATATGTTTTCAAGATATCAGAGCATCTGCCACTCGGTAGCTTCTTTCGCTTCCTGCTGCTTCCCCTGCCGAGTTCTTCTTCTTACTGCTGGAAGACGCACCGTCTTTTGATACTGGAAGCCGTTTCTCCGCCAGCAATTTCTTGTCAGCAGGAGCTCGCTCCACTGCTTCAGCCTTCTTCTCTTTTTCTTCTGTCGACTTCTCAGCAGCAGGTTTCTTCACTGAGGCAAGCTTCTTCTTTGCTGCAACCTTCTTCTCAGCCTTCGGCGCCAATGAATCGCCGATCATCGAACGATAACAGCACAGAGACGAGGGCTGGTGAGTTATTTTCTTCTCCTCCTGCTTCAAAACCTTCGGCATTTGCTCTCTCACCTTACCTACGCAAGCCAGAGATCCGTTTACCTTAGCGTGTTCCTCCGTTGAAATCAGCTTACAGGTGTTTCTCCTCCTCATCTCTTTCGTCAGCTGTCTTTGATTTGCGCAGTCTTTTATTCTCATCTGCTCTCTGGTTGTTCTACGGAGAAAATCTTCCTCTATTTTCTCACCATTCTTTCTGTCCTTGATTCTTGCCATCGCGATCTGCTCGTTTCTCACATGAGCACCCTCTCTAACTCCTCCATTAACATTGAGATGGCTACCAATTGGAACAATTCCCCTCCCACCGATCGTCCGATCCCTAACCAACCGAAATTTCTGTCGGTCAACATCAAAAACCTTGTCTCAACTGCACGTACAGCTGACAATTATCCCATCTGGAAGGCCCAACTACTAACATTATTCCGTGCCAATGGGAATGATGGATTTCTTGATGGTTTTTGCCGCTGTCCCAAAAAATTCATCCAAGATTCTTCAGCCGCTAATATACCCAACCCCGATTATAGCAGATGGATCTTCATGGATCAAAACCTCACTGCTGCCATTTACTCCGTTGTTTCACCATCTATTCTACCATATCTCCCTAATCTTGATAACAGTGCTGAAATTTGGAATACTATTGAAAAAACACCCCAATCCTACAATCGCTTTCGTATTCTCCAGCTTAAAAACAAACTCCACAATGTTTCAAAAGGCGAGCGAACCATGACTCAATATCTTTCTGACATCAAAAACAAAGTTGACATTCTTGCCACCGCTGGCGTACTTCTTAATGCCGAAGGCATAATACTTTATACACTTAATGGTTTGCCTTCCACCTATCATGCCTTCCAGACTTCTAATCTCCCTAATCTTGATAACAGTGCTGAAATTTGGAATAATAATGAAAAAAGACTCCAATCCTCCAATCACTTTCGTATTCTCCAGCTTAAAAACAAGCTCCACAATGTTTCAAAAGGTGATTGAACCATGACTCAATATCTTTCTGACATCAAAAACAAAGTTGACATTCTTGCCACCGCTGGCGTACTTCTTAATGCCGAAGGCATAAATAATACTTTATACACTTAATGGTTTGCCTTCCACCTATCATGCCTTCCAGATTTCTATTCAAACTAATCTCCAATCAATTAGCTTGGATGATCTTTACACCCTTTAATGTAGTGAGGAACTCACCTTTGCTCAAGAAGCTCTCAAAGATGCTTCTTCTCATACCACTACTGTGTTGGCTGCCTCAAACCAAAACTAGTACAAGCGCCAATCTACTAGCTCATTTAACCGGACTCAACAAAATTCTGATTCCTACAAGAATCAATTTGGTTCATCTAGAGGACAGCCCTCTCATGGATTTCAGAACTCCTCTACCAACAGCTAAAACATCACTTGTCGAATATGTAACAAAGTTGGGCACTTAGCATTTAAATGTTGGCACAGACATGATCACAACTATCAGCCACCTACTGCTCTTATTTCAGATTCAACGACCAATTTATACAGGCAGTGGATCTTCGACTGTGGCGCGATGCAGCATCTTATCGTCAACTCACATCAACTTCACAACGTTCAAGACTACAAAGGTGACAATTCTATATCAGTAGGAAATGGTCAACAACTTCCTATTGCTCATATTGGTCAAGGACTGCTTCCTACTCCAACTCGTAAGCTTATGCAATCAAATATTCGTCATGTTCCTAATTTAGCATATAACTTACTTTCAGTTCATAAGTTAACTACTCAAAATTCTTGCATTATTATTTTTACTGCTAACAATTACTCAATTAAGGATGTGCAGACCAACAAAGTTCTCCTTAAAGGACCTCACATTCAAGGACTGTACCCAATTCAACTTGCTTCCACTGACACCAGCTTCCTTCAGACCTAGCTCTCATATTTTTAGTATGTCCCATATTTGTGGCACGGGCGGCTCGAGTACCCTCAGAATCACATTCAGCAAGTTCTAGCCTCGAGTTTATAGCATGTTATTCCTAAAATATCTTGCACTTCTGATATCCTTCGACACCAAAATTAGCAAACATACCACAAAGAAATCGCAATAAATATGTGGAAAAACACAAATAAGGACCGCTCTTACAACAATTAAAGAAAAAAACAAGCAAGATACAAAGATGATCTACTTTCAAGAGGTAGATTGGCTCTCCCACACCCAAGACGTCGCTAGGAACAACACCAAAAGAAGAAAAACACAACCACAAAATAATTCATTAAAAAAATACAAAACCTTAGGTTCCTCCCATTAATAGAATCCCCTCATAATATTTGAAAACATTCCTTACAAACTTTCCCTCCCAATTCGCACATTTCCTCCTCCTTGAGTATGTAATTAGGGTCCACTAGTGGACCCTCTCTTCTGATGCCTTAAGAGGTCGCTTGACCTCTTCAATTAACGAGGACCAACCCACCTGTTGAAAGAGCGGGTCGGCTGGATGGTGTTTGACTGATCCAGGCGGGAACGATCCCCTTCTACCTGTTATGGGCGTAACAATACTCCCCTCCCAAAAACGTACCTTGTCCTCAAGGTGGAAGGATGGAAACTACTTGTGGATCACCTCGTATGACGCTCATGTTGTCTCATAGTCTAGCAGCCCTTTCCACTTAACCAGTGCCTCCTTTGCTCTCCATATTCCTCGGTGCACTCCTTCGATCTCTAGTGGCTCTTGAATTACTTCCAAGTCCCCCGTCAGTGTCGGCGGTACTGTAGACAAGGGTGTATGATCTCCAATCATATGTCTCAGCTGTGATACATATAAAACCAAGTGTAATACGAACGATGGTGATAACTTCAAACAGTTGGCCACTAACCCGATGTGTGGCATCACCTTGTGAGGCCCAAAGTATCGCAATGACAATTTTTTGTTTCTCCTCCTGGCCAAAGTCTTCTGTCGGTAGGGTCTCAGTTTCAAGTAGACCATATCTCCTAGTTCAAATTGCATCTCTCTCCTATGTTCATCCACCTTCCTCTTCATGATTTGTTGAGCTCTCAGTAAATGTCTTTTGAGCTCTATCAGTATCCCTCTTCTCCAATTAATGATCGACGCAGAATACCAACATGGTACTATGCCCATAATGTATTAAGTGAGAAGGATCCCGTCTATACGACATCTCGAAAGGGATTGTCTGAGCTCTATCAGTATTCCTCTTCTCCAATTAATGATCGACGCAGAATACCAGCATGGTACTATGCCCATAATGTATTAAGTGAGGAAGATCCCGTCTATACGACATCTCGAAAGGGATTGTCTATGTTGCGGTGTGATACGAAATGTTATACTAATATTCCGCTCCTGCAACTCACTTAGCCCATAACTTCAGCGTATCGTATACAAAACAAAACAAGTATGTCTCCACACTCTTATTGACCACCTTTGTCTGCCCATCGGTCTAGAAATGATATACGATGCTCCTTTTAAGAACAATCACTTGCAACCTAAATAGCTCATTCCATAAGTAGTTGAGGGACACTTTGTCTCTATCCGATACAATTGATTCGGGCACCCCATGCAAACAGACCACTTCTCGGATAAGCACCGTCACGACTAAGACCGTAGTGTAGGGATGTCGCAAGGGAATGAAACATGCATACTTAAGTGAATCACGACCACCATAATCACCGCGAACCCTTTTAACCGTGGCAATCCCACGATAAAATCAATCCTCACTTCTTCCCAAACCTTCACCAGTAATGCTAATGGTTGTAGTAACCCCCTGGTGTTGTGGTCAAGTACTTGAGCCGCTGACACACATTACATTTTGCCACCATGTCCTCCACATCTCTGCATCCCCACCCAAAAAAGCTCTGCCACCAGACGACTGTAAGTCACCCGCACCCCTGAATGTCCCCAGAATGCGCTGTCGTGAAACTCTTGTAATAATCTAGGAATATACTCTGACGACTTGAGTAACTATTGTCCCGTCAATGCATATCATGAATGACTGTTTGAATCCTATATTAATTCAGCCCTTATTTTCCTCAGCTCTTCATCACTTTCACTCTCCTGTCTAAAGGCCTCCCAATCTAGGACTAAAGGTACTAATAGGGCCATCAATTGGGGCTCCTCTACCTTCCTCGACAATGGGTCAACTGCCTTGTTCACAAATCCTGACCAGTATTGAATCTCAAAATCATGGTTCAATAGCTTGGATAGCCATCTCTGATGCTCAGTCACAATCTGTTGCTCCAGAAGAAACTTTAAACTCCATTGATTTGTCCTGACC